GGAAGGGGACAGGAGAATTCCAGGCACTCACCTGGGTTTGGCTGGAGGTACTCTATTGTTCTGGTCAATACTTCTGTAACTGCCTTGCTGGTCAGGTCCACTTTCTGCAGGGAAGACAAGGTGACCCAGCAGCAGTGAAGAGCAGCTCAGGGCTTTGGCAGGGTCACAGAGGAGTTTATCTGGGTGATTTTAGAAGCTCTCTCTTGTTCCCTACTCACCTTTTCCATTTCCTTGAAGTCATCGTCGAGCTTGGTCCCTTCAGCCCCTCCAACCTTCTCACTGACCAGCTGCAAGAACAAGGGAGAAGGAATCAGGCATGGTACTAACTGCTTACAACTCCTTGTATCTCATGGAGTAAGCCTCCAGGACAGAAAGGCTCCAGATGGCACCTGCAAGAGAAAGGAGGTGGCAGGAACAGCTCAAAACACATCAGAAAGATGCGGCTCTTTGCTAACACTGCCCCACTGCAGCTCCAAGCATCTCCTCCCCTCCCAAAGCACAGCTTAGTCAGGGTATTCCTCACCCAACAGAAGCTGCAACAGCCCCTTCAGTCACAGCACAGGGCTCCAGCTCCAGTGCTGGCTGGAAAACCCAAGCAGCAGAATTGTCTCTCAGCTCCATTGTGAGCCAAGGCTTTGGTTTCACACCCGGCAAGATGCAAGTAAACAGGGAACAAACACACTGCTCAGAGCAGCCAGCGCAGGAGCAGAGGCTGGAGGGAGCAGGGGCTCTCCAAAGCGGTGTTCCCAAAGCCCTGGAGAGAGCAGGGGCTCTTCCAAAGCTCCGAGGGGAATGTAAGAGCAGTGCAGGATCTGGGCCATGGAGGGTTGGAACTCTGGAAGTGGAGGATAAAGAGAAGGGTTTGAATCCATCGATCAAAGTGTCTCTGAGGCCTGCCCTAAAACCAGGCACAAGGGAGATGTCACTTGGCCTAAGCAAAGCCCAGCACTCCCTGAACCTCTCCATTCACCTGCCCAAGCTCAAAGACAACAAGAGCTTTATTAAACCCACCTCAACATGTCCTTCCCAGCTCCATGCTGGTGTGGCAAGGCCTGCAGGACACACCAGCCAAAAGGAATGCTTAGCTTGCCCCAGCCTGGTCCCACTGGACACCAGCTTGCCCATAGAGATCAGAAGAGGGGTAGGAAGCAGGCGCTGGCTCCCAGGCGCTCGGTGCCGGGATTTCTGGTGTTTGTAGTGAAACCTCCAGTTGGGATGAACAATGCAGGTCTGTTTACTTCAATATCAAATACTTGATTTTATCACGTCTTTCTTCCTCTGGAATCCTGCTCCCATGGGGATATCGTGGTTCCCGGTTTCTTTTGAGGAATGTGGGGGAAGGAAACCTTTTAGGTAATCATGGGCTGGTTTGGGTTGAAGGGACCTTAAAGCTCCTTTA